ACAAAAGATCCAAAACGACGTTTATTTAGCAAATAGTTGAAAAAGCTAGAATGACATTTAAAAGAAATAAGATGGAGTACCATTTATCAAGAATAGTAAGTCAATCCTTGGTCAAAACTGATCAACATTAATTACATGTCATTTATAGTATCTTTTTAATATATTTTTAAATGTTGTCCTTAAAATGAGGAGTTTTTTACTTTTTATTTTCAAAAAAGTTGGGCTGCTACTTAAATTTAGTCTATTGAATATTTGTGATGGTTTGACACGATTTGCATATCAAAAGCTGATAATGCATGGATTGCATCAATTAAATTTGGTTATTGGTTACAAAAGGCTATTTTTAAATTTGAATATAAATGTACGTCATGACTGTTAATTCAATTAAACATCGGGCAATTATAATCTCCAATTTAAAACCAGATATTCGCCTAATACAATTGTTTTGTTTGGAACCTTTTTTATAATAAAAAATTACAACTGGTTTAATAATAAAAAAAGTGACGTGCTATTTTTTCTAACCATAAAAATATACTTTTGTATTTTAAAAATATCGAAAAAAATATATATATAATCGGCTAATAGCCTAATACATATGTTTTGATTAGCAGGTTTTATTTAACAAAACAAATTACGGCTGATTTAAGGGTAAAAATATCTTAAAAAAATCATTTGTTTATTTCTTTTGAAAACATTTTTTTCTAACAATCCAATTGAGCAGTTTCAATTAAAAAAATAAAGTTGCGGCTGATTAATTATTTTGTATGACAATTATTTATAATGAAAGATAATACACGGTTCTAATTTTGAAACAATTAAAAATTTTATGGTCATTGTTTATATCAGAGATTCGAAATAAGGATATCTTCATATATAAATTGCTTTAATTGTAAAACGTGATGTATCCAATATTTAGATAGAATTATCACATATCATCCCCTACATTAATAATTTTTTATTTTTTTTTTTATATCAAAATACCAAATCAAATTTTTACGGTCTTTGTTTAAATTAGAGATTCAAAATATCTTAATCTCCATGTTTACATTGCTTTAATTGTAAGACGTGATGTATACAAGATTTAGATAGATTTATCACATATCTCCCATAAATTAATGATTTTATTTTTTTTCTAAATTTCAAAATACCAAATCCTAAAGTTGCGGTTGATTTAATTATTAAACGATATTTTGCAATCATAGATTTGGGTTATCTTCAAACTCAAAATTAAAAATGCTGATATGTAGATATGGACATATTATATACATATGATCCGTAAAATGAAGTATGTTATTTCATTAGAAAACACAAAATATGAACTTAAGATGTAGATTTATCATGTACGTGTGATAATACCATTTTACATGCTATGAAAGTCATTGTTTACCCGTGCATCGCACGAGATACGCACTAGTGTAGTAATATAAGGATACTAGTATAAAAGAAGTAGCTTTTTAAATTTTACTAATATATTATATATGTACTAGTG